AATCCGCGCCGCGATATGTGCCATGGTACTGGGCCCTTCAGGGGATAACTGGAGAATTTCTGGCAACCCAAGAGGCTAAAGCTTGGTGACTTTCTCTGACTTTCGGGGTCCCTTCAACAAATGAAACTCACCAGGATTTGATGCTTCCCACGGGCTCATTTGGCGAGGGCTCATTTGTCAGGGCTGAGGAGCAATTTTGCCCACCTGGCACCTTTGACAAACCGCCTCTTTGGCTGTGTTTGGAAGATCAGTCTTATTGCCATTTCAAGGGGGAACATATTTTCTACACCATTGATTTCCTGAAATTGGGGGACAGAAGTCCAGAATTTCGCCATTCTAAGATTTTTTTTCGGCATCTCATGGTTTGGGGGTCAGTTTGTATTGAAACTCTTTGGGGGTAGAAGTGACCGACCTGTGGACATCTCACCATCAAACTCCAGGAGACGGTTTCCATGGAGGATCCCCAGTTCTGATCCAACTATTGGGGTACCCCCATGACTATGGAAACCCCCAAATGATCTAACAGACATAGAATTTCAGACAAATTCATATGGGAACTGGGAAACCAAAGACATTTCTATAGTTTTTCCTGACTTTGGGACGTTGCCATGACAAGCCACGCTTCACCGGCTCACCGAGGAATTCGTCCTTCGACGAGATGGTTGGCCAAGTGTTTCTTGCCATTTTTTCTCGCTTGGAAGGTATCTATATCCCCAGAAATGCTGTAAGATCTTTGAGTTTGAGAGAAAAATTATGGGACTTCCCCAACTGTTGATGGATTTCCTATAGAGTTCCTTTAGATTTTCGAAGGTTTCCCATAGATTTTCCCAACCCGAAACCAATGAAACGCAGCAGCCACTGCCAAGGTCCTTGCCGTCGCGCCCGCCTGGCTATTTCAATGGGACCGGGCCAGTGTCGGGGACCCCGGGGGACCGTCCGGGGGACCTTCCGGGGGTGAAGCGAAAGCATCTGATTCTGTAGGATTTAAGCAACAAACATGGTGATTCAAAAAAGTGGAAACACCTGAAGCCTCAATCCAACATAATCCAAGTATGAATTGGGAGTCAAACGAAGGGTGGGATATGATAGGATATGCAGAGGGAACTAAACATTCAGCTGTGCGACATGGAGTCCAGTATAGTCCAGTAGACATGCTCCGACTTCCCTAGGCCCCAGTTCTTGAGAATTTTGATTTTGATCACAACCTGCTGTGACAACAATTGATCAAAGGTTTCGTGAAAAAGTAGACCATCGTGAAAATGGCAACTTATTGAGGATCCATGCACCATTTGCGTCAAACCCATGTTGGTATGGATAGTTTGATACTAGGAATGGATGGTTGGATACTTCAAATGTCGAGAGTTTTGTTGGCCCAAAGAGACCCATACAGCTGTGTTTTTTCCGTGTGAACACAAGTACTGAATATTTACATTACAAGGCATATGCGCCGAGCGCACTCAAATAAATCGATAGATAAACAATAAGTCTATAGATTAATGAAAATACGGACATATGTTTTTAAACATGTATCTCTCTCTCTCTATATCTATATACAAGTATGTATACGAATACCAATACGTGTATATATATATACACATACAAATACGTGTATAGATATATATACATATATGTGTATATACATATACATAATATTACATAATACAAAAATATACATGTAATTATGTGTATATATATACACTATCTATCTTTCTATCTATTTATCTACCTACCTACCTATCTATCTAGCTACCTATCTCCCTATCTACCTATCTGCCTATCTACCTATCTACCAATCTACCTATCTATCCATCCATCTATCTATCTTTTCTATCTTTTCTATCTTTTCTATCTTTTCTATCTCTTCTATCTCTTCTATCTTTTCTATCTTTTCTATCTTTTCTATCTTTTCTATCTTTTCTATCTTTTCTCTCTTTTCTGTCTTTTCTATATTTTCTATCTTTTCTCTCTTTTCTGTCTTTTCTATCTTTTCTATCTTTTCTATCTTTTCTCTCTTTTCTGTCTTTGTCTCGGGTTCGTATCGTTGTTCGTACATCTGTGTCTATGGGGCTTTTCTTTGGTGGGGTGTGGGAACTCACTTGTTCCTCATCTTGTCTCTTCTCGAGTCTTTTCTGTCTTTTCTATCTACTTGGCTATCTTTCATTTTTTTCTATTTTCTATCTTTCTATCTTTTCTAAATCTTTTTCTAGGCTTAATCGGTTGGCTATCTTTTCTATCTTTTCTATCTTTTCTCTCTTTTCTGTCTTTTCTATCTTTTCTATCTTTTCTATCTTTTCTATCTTTTTTTTTTCTATCTTTTCTATCTTTTCTATCTTTTCTATCTTTTCTATCTACCTATCTACCTATCTACCTAGCTATTTAGCTATCTAGCTATCTAGCTATCTATCTATCTATGGGATGCACATCCAAGTTGTCTCGAGGCATACTGCCAGCTTGGACCGTGGAGCTGTAAGAGCATGCACGGCACCTGCCGGGAGCGCGGGTCCAACGAAGCTTGGTGACAGAGTCAGGGAAGACGCTGCTGGTTGGTGGTTTCATTACTATATAGAAAAGTGAATTCCTAATCGAAAAGAGTAAATTACTTTTCTTCTATTTGACTACTAACTATATATCTTTTCTTCTATTTGACTACTAATTATATATATTATTACTTTTCTTTTGCGACCATACTTTCGACATCTTTCGACCGTATTTGGGATGATCCAACGTTGACTTCATGGTATGGAAATCTATTGAAATTACGGGGTGTGTTGAAACATCCTGAAACCTGCAATCAAGGTGGTGTTTTGGACGGGTGGTGATTGGGCCGAGGTTTAAGCAATGATCAGCACAGTAGAAACACGAGAGCTGGAAAGACGAACGATATCTAAGCAGCAACATAGAACAGTATCTAGTTCCTTTTCTGTATGTATTTGTCTCCAATGTTGGTTCTCTTATTTTTCAAATTATTGTGTTTCTGATCTTTAATCGTTTTGCAAAAGAATAGTGATGGCTAATTTTTGGTTTCTGTGTGCCCAGGTTTTGAGGTTTTGTGCATCTGGTTGCTTCGGTTTTGATTAGGGCACCCCTCAAGACGTCACGACCTCTTCGCGTTTCCAAAAGTATGGATTTGGATATGACCGGAATACAACACGTTAGCTTCAAACAGCAAGATACACTGTCAGCCTTTATCAGACTTAGTAAGGTCTTCCCAGACCCTACTGTGCTTGCTATGATGGCTGGGTGGTTGCCGCTAATTTCAAATGCCTTTTTTGTGTGTCCATTCTTCGAATGCGAGGATAGTCTCCCTTGACGTTTCTATTTTCAGGGACTCACTAACCAGATTGACAAGATGAAGGTTTACCCTTTTTGGAACCTGGATCTGTGAGGGGCCAAAAACACAATGAAATTGACTGCTGCAAAACCCACGAGGAGCGGGTCGTCGAACATAAGAGCCGTTCAAGCGGGTTGCAATGCCTCCTCCTGATTCGATATGTGCTGGAACTCTGCACAAAGTGCATTTATAAATACTGATTGGTGGTTTGGAACATTTTTTGTTTTTCCATATATTGGGTTTTTCATCGTCCCAACTGACTCATATTTTTCAGACGGGTAGGTATACCACCAACCAGAATATCATCATGTACTCATGATTGGTGATCCGTGATCACCGATTTCCATCGATATATCTGGCTACACAACGGAGTCCATTGGTCGCCCCAATGGGGGGCATCAATCGTTTCTTATCGCTTGATCTAGTTGTCTACCCCAATTTTCCGCCCATGTATCTGGGGTGTTGGGAGCAACCCTGATCAAGTTGGTTATATCATTATATCCACCATGTTATATAATATCCCGGAATCATGTCTCACATTATCATATCATATTATATTATATTATATTGTATTATATTATATTATACTATATAATATAATATCATATCATATTGTATTCTATTATATTAATCATATTTCATTATATTGTACTATAGTATTTTATATGATATAAATATATACATAGCATAGCATAGCATAGCATAGCAGAGCAGAGCATAGCAGAGCTTAGTGTAGCGTAGCATAGCATAGCTTAGTTTAGCGTAGCGTAGCATATCATCATCATCATCATCATCATCACCATCATCATTATCTCATCATAATTTCCTTTTTTGAATTTTAGTCTTGATATGTTTTAGTCCATATCGTTATATTATTACCGTTATTGTATTTATGATATCGTTCATTCGTTTGTTGGGTCCACATTCGTTTTGGTGATTGTGTCGGCTAAGGATGTGTCCGCCGCAAACCTTTGAGCCCCAGCCCCAAAGGTGGGAGAGTTTTCAGTGATGATCTGCTACTAAACTGGTAAGAATCCCCAGTGAACAAGACAGGGGATGATGATGACCCATGATGACCCCAAATCCACGCAAATCCTGCTTAGCCTGTCGGAGACTATCGAGTTTTTGGACATTTCATGTTTTTTTTTTCCGTTCGAGTTTAAAAAGGACCAAGCCACGCGGATGATGCGTTCCGCAGCTTTTCCGCGAAGTTTCGGGAGTCAACCGCAGGTCAAAATTTGGGGAGCGCTGGCATCTCCCACATGAAATCATCCAAAGCTACTGGTAGTCATGGTAGTCGAAGTGGGACAAGTTTCCACCATATAGAGGACTAAATGGAAATGCAACGCAAATCGCAGATAGCCACAACAAAGCTAACAAAATCTTCATACTTTGCAGTAGGTTTCCCGACAACGTCGACAAAGACACCAACTGATCCGCAAATGAATGTCCAGCATTTTTCGAATTTTTGTATGCCTCAAGTCTTCCTTTCTTCCTTCTTGTGTGCTGTTCGTGGTCCGATTCTCCCACCATGATACATCTTGAAGTTCCTTCTCAGCTGTCTTCTGCCAGGAATGGACTGGACTTGACCGTTAATGACTTTGGTGATAAGCTGGGACCGCAGGGCGCCCTGGGTGAGACGCAACACAGCAAATGCAATGAGTCATGACAGCTTCTCACCGGCGCATTTATTGTTGTGATTGGTACGGTACCGTATGTTTCTTCTGTTTCCTACACAGAAAACCCTGTAGCGGTCAGAATATGTTTGGCTTCCTTGGAGCCCCAAGGGCCCAAGGGGCCACGCATCGAGGTTGAACGATGATCCTTTTAAGGTGGAGGGGACTGGTGGGTTTGGATCAGATTGTGATAGGCAAGGCGGCAAGGCTTCAGGCCACATCCAGCGGTTGGTTTTTTGATGACGACTGGGCTCCGGTTCAGCATGGAGGAATGGGTTTGGTTGAATCTGCCTAGACTCTGAGAAGTCTTAAGTAGCATTGGATGAGAATGAGAGGTCACCTGAAAACCACTTTTGGGATCACCAGCCTTGATAGTAACGCCCCAAAAAGATAGGAAAGTAGTCTACAACTATTCCAGTAGGATTTCACTCACTTCACTTTTCCATGTTTTTGGGGTTGCTTCACACTTACTATCTGGAATTTCAACATAGCTATGGAAAATCATCATTTTTAATAGGTAAATCATCATTCTTATGATATATAAATGGGCAATTTTCCATAGCTAACCGTTGAATTCCCAGAGGGTATACCGTTCAGATTTCTTGACCATGCGGGGTCGCACTTGCCCTTACTGAAGGTGGAGGTAGGGGCCCAGCTGACCCTAGGGTAGGGGCGAATGTGACTCCACCTCGTTTTGCGTGGCAGGCGCAATAGTTTTAGAGGTGGGAAAGGATCGTTCTCTAGCTCTAACAGTCAGCATACGCACAAATCACAACTGTCATGGAAAGTCAATTCGAAAAAAGTTGTTCGGGATGCTACGTTCTCAGATCCATTTCCAATACCATCAAGCAACTTGTTGTAACATCCATTTCAAGCAACTTCCAAGACGTTCTGCGTGCTACGTTGCAACAACCACTTCAAGCAACGTCCAAGACGCTCTGGATGCTATGTTGTAACATCCATTTCAAGTAACTTCCAAGACGTTCTGTATGCGACGTTGCAGCAACCGTTTCAAGCAACTTCCAAGACGCTTTGGATGCTATGTTGTAACATCCGCGTCAAGCACCTTCTAAGACGCTTTGGATGCTACGTTGTAACATCCATGTGACAGGTAAGTGGCACAGGTCCCCCCTAACCAATGTCCCCAAGTCCCCCCCAACTGTCCCTTGTCCCTAGATTAAACCCTAAAAGGTTGAATGGCTTGTTAAGTAGAAAGGTAAGTGTCCCCGGGCCCCCCCAACCAATGTTTCCAATGTCCCACCTAAATGTCCCTTGTCCCCAGATTAAACCCTAAAAGGTTGAATGACATATTGAGAGAGGTAGGGGCAAATGTGACCCTGAGGTAGGGGCGAATGTGACCCCGTCCCCCGTTCAGATTTCTTGACCACGTGGTAGTTCTGCTCCGTGCTGCAGCGGAGGCTGACTTAGGTGACTTGCCGCAGGGGCTCTCAGGTTTCAAATATCCCCCAGTCAAAAATGGCTGGCTGGGAAATCCCTTATAACCTTTTAAACATGGACATTTAAATGGGACAATATGGGACAATGATCTATAAACGGTGGATTTTCCAGCAAAGCATGTTTGATTACTGGAAGGTATCCAGCAAAAACGGAGAAGTGATGCCAATGCAGATACAACATGATACAACCAAGAATGTCTGGGGACATGATTGGTTGGCGGTTTCAAGGTCCGAGCCAGAAGTGGATAGAGCCGGTATGAGTTGGAACAAGTTGCCTCTGGCAGTCATAGTAAAGAAAACATTATTAAAACATACATATTCATATAATATGGGTGTATATGTGTATTCTGAAGGTTTAGCCATTATGTTGGAAGATGCCATATCAAAAGGCAGACCTTCATGAATTCCTTCCTTTCCCCAACTGGCATGGGTCCGGCTCAGCCAAGGCCTGCCGCACAATTGGCACAGCTGCAGCTGCTGTAACTTGGCCCCAAAGTTTTGGAAGTCGTCAGCACGCAACAGGGGAAGCTTAATACATGTTATTGTAGTCCATAATAGGGATACCTACAAATCATAATCACTATTCGAAATGGCTTTGACTGAGGTTTTCTGATTCAATTGAACTAGGTCCAGTAGATAACTGGAATTTCTCTTGACAACCATGAAGAATCTATGGAACAACATTTCGTTCATGGCGAGAGGTTTTGCCAGATTGAAGACATCACAACTTCCACAATCTGCTTGGTCAATACCTATCTTGACAGGGTGCCCTCAATTCTTGATCTTTGGCTGACATCCTAAAGATCTAGCGAAACCCATTTCACCCGACTTGCCAGCATGCGGGAGTGGATGTAAGGTCCGAAGGAGGTCCCAAGGATCATGTTTTAGCAACGCTTGTTGGTCCAAGTGCCAGGAGGATTCCCAAGTGGAGGGATTGGTTCAAAATCCAGCCCTACGATGAGATTTCTGGGTTTTGTTGTTACCGTTCTGACTCCGTGGAAGCCGAGGCAGAATGAACTAATGCGGGGCTCAAGGTGGGGCTTACAGTCGCGTTTTTGGAGAGACATGAGATTCAAGTGTTGATTCATTGGTTGCAATGCCGAAATTCAGAACTGCATCACTTGGATGGCCAGGTTCAGGTCTCATGTTGAATGGATTGGATAGGGCTTTACATCTTGACGAAAGCATCCAGAGTGGGACCTACCCAACCGGTAGGGACCTTGGCAAGGTGAACGTATTCTCAAAGATGGCAGGGTGATGGATTGGGTTTGAAATTCTACTGGGGGTTTGTCTTTGGTACTGTTTATCCCATTTTTTGTTTTCCCACCCAAAAATAACCAGCAAACACCTTTGGCTGTAGGGCTAAGGTGCATCGTAACTCGTCATAACTCGCCCGTCCTTTCGACCTGACAGGCTTGAGGCACCGATGGGCATGATGCCGCCGCTCAGCTGAAAGGTTGGTGCGGCTTGTGTCTAGTGCTTCAACGGCCAGGAAAGGAACCAAAGCTGACCACCTTTTGTCATGCAAAATGATTCAGAACGTAAGTAATACATTGACGTATCTATCTGTAAACGCTTATATAACTTAGATATATACAGTACATGTATATATATATACACATATATATATATACATGTATATATATACGGTAATAGGTACCGTATATATATATATACATATGTATATATATATACATATGTATCTACATGTATATACATAATATATATATATACATACATATATACATACACATATACACATATACATATGTATATATATACATACATATACATATACATATACATATACATACACATACACATACACATATACATATACATATACATATACATATTAATATACATATACATATACATATACATATACATATACATACATGTATGTATATACATGCATAGATACGTAGGTTACATACAAAAATAGATAGATAGATAGATAGATAGATAGATAGATAGATAGATAGATAGATAGATACAAACCCATACCCATACCCACACCCATACACATACAAATACACATACATATACATCATATACATACACATATACATACACATACACATACATATACATACACATATACATACACATACACATACATGTACATATACATATACATACACATACACATATCTAGATATATGTATATGTATGTATATATGTGGGTCTTTCTCTCTCTCTCTATATATATATATGGAGAAGGCGGAGATCCAATCATTTCTGAACCCTTTTTTTGGGCCCCAAAAAACTATGCAGCCCAGGTTGAAGACCCAAGACTTTGGGGCTGCGCCGGCGCAGGAAAGCTGACCAATGATGTGGCGACCCAAAATAGGATACCAATGGACCCGCAATGGACCCACAATGGACCCACCATTTATGGGTCATTTGTAGTGTTTCATCAGTTTGACACTTCCATTTTTTTTGGGTTTCCAATGAATTATATCCCCAGTACTAATGAATGATTACTATGGTTGGGATTTATTTCCCCTTTTAGTACTCAACCATTGCTTTTTGGGGTGGTCCATTTGGAACCAAACTTTAAGTCCCGCCTTGGATAGTCCCAGATAAGTGTAAACCCACTACGAATCCACGGTTGATTGGGGGATGTTTAATAGGGGGAAGAGAAAACATGGTGAAATGAATTAGGATATTACCACCAGACAATAAGGCACATTCCCTCTGTAATAAACACTCCCCCAAGGAATTGTGGTGGAAAATCCTTCGACTTGTTGCTGGTTGTTTCACCCGAAGTGTCATTTTCCCTGGCATTCGGCAACGTTGGAGACTCCGGGGTCCGTCCTGCAAAATTGAGAGGTTTTTGTGACTCACACCTACTGTCTGGTAAACTAACATAACTATGGAAAGTCACCATTTTTAGTGGGAAAATCAACTATAAATGGCCATTTTCAATAGCTATGTTAGTCATTACCAGAGGGCAATGTAACCATCAGCTAGTTGGTGAAAAACCAACCTGCCGCTTTTTCCGAGGTTCATGACATGTATAAATTTTACCCCATCGAAAACCAGCCCTGCATCATGTCCCATCATTTTCCACGGCATGTTGAATGGACCATCCATCCGGAGGCAGATAGGCACGTGACGACGGGGGGGGTTGGATGAGATTTTCTCTGCCAGGAAAAGCCCCAGATTGGTAATTTACCCAATGGGTAAATTGGTAAACACCATATAATTCACAGGTGTGTTACCAATACCATGAAGTGAATTTTCCCTTGAACCCAATGTATTGCATCTTAGCAAAATGGTGGCATTAAACCGAATCAAACCCAAGCACTTGATGGGGATACATTTAATGGGATGTTCTTGGGACAACTAACCAATAAGATACATCACGTGTTTGTCCAGAAAATATGGATTTACCACCATACTTGTCACATGTGGATCGAAAACATGGTGGACACATACTTTCTATTTGGGGCTGCGCTAGTTTCAGCCCATTGATGCACCACCAAAGAGAGGGATTCTTCTGATGACAATGAACCAGACTTTGGATTTTC